GCCTCCCATGTAGTGCTTCTTTGCTGCGTGACCTTGGGCAGAATTCCTGGCATGCAGTGGGTACCCCAAGAATGTTGCCTTCTTTTTCTTTTCTCCCTTATACCTCTTAATGCATTGTAAGGATTAGCCTTAGACCACAGAAATGCCTGGCATGACTTCACTTCTGCCATTGCATGGAGAGGCAGGGAAATCCCACAGTTTAAATGTAGGTGTGGCCTCGATCAAGCCACCTAACTCTTCTGTGGATGGAAACAATGTTTACCTGGACCTCCAGGGTTGCTGCAGGATTAGAGAAGGACTATTCATAGAGTGCCTGGTGCATCTTGCTTGTTTTCCCCTCCCTGGATGCCGTGGACCCTTTTCACCTTTTTATCCCCAGGGCAGTGAACACAGAGGCCTACATTGAATTGGTTTGCCTTTGTTTTGGAGAAAAGGTAGCCAGTTGAAAGTTACTGTTAGAGCCGAAGGTCTTACGCCAATAACAACAATGTCATAGCTAACGTGTGTAAAGTGCTTGGTCTGTACTTGGCACTATGGTGGGTGTACAGTAAACATTCATTCATTTGGCAGACCTAGGAGGAGTAGAGAGTTTAAGTAACTTGCCCACGGTCACATAGCTGGTGGCATAGGATTTGAACCTGGGCTGTCCCATTCTTAACCCCTGGAGGCTTGTGGTAAAAATTAATGTAGAGGCCTAGGGATTGTAGACATTCCAGACCACGGGGATGCACCTGGACCAGGTGAGTGATTTTCATGCGCACATGTGATTTCTGATTTTGAGCCCTAGGGGGTCACTGCATTTCCCGACAGGTTTGTGGGCCTCTGGCAGTATTGCCTGGGGTGGCTTTACATATTTTATTTTCATGCTGATGGGGAATCTCATATTAAAAAGAAGTCTGCTCTGGCTGTTGATGAAGGCTGCCCTTGGAGAAGGAAGGAAGCAGGAAAGTGGGCTTTCAAAGGGGAGTCATTCCCGGACTGGCAGTGAGGCTGTAGCTGCAGGTTTGTTACGGGGGTTGAGAGTGAGTGAGATTCAGAGGTGGCCGAGCCAGGAGCCAGTGGACTTGAAATTGAATCCCTCCGCGAGCACTTCTGGTGGGACTGGCCTTGGATGAAGATCTTTCCTCTCTGAGCCTCAGTGCTCTGGTGAATGGAGCCACCTTTCCTTCTTTGTTAAGGACCAAAGGATAAAATGTCAGTTGCTTAATGGCTTAGTCCACACTTGAAGCTCAGCAGGTGGGTATGGGTTTGAGACTGGAGGATTCTTCCTGACCCTGGCAGGGGTGCTGTGTTCTCCTCTTTGTCTCTTGAAGAAGATAAAGAGAGTGGTGGCTTTGATTCTCTGCCTGCATGTCTCCACAGTGGCTCCGCGTTGGCAGGCTGTGGAGCGAGGAGGGCATGAGCTCATGCAGAAACCAGTGCACAGGGAAGGGAAGTGGCTCTCCCTGTCACATGCAGCCTGGCCGGGATGAGGACTCATGATACCTTGTGACTTCCCACTAGTGCTCCTTCCACTATCGCCCATGAGCCTCTTGGGCACGTCCTGCAGTTGAGTGCTCCCAAGGCCGCCTGTGCTCCCTCTACCCTATGATCCTTCTCTTAATCCTCATTCAGGGCTAGGATGGCCACAGGTGCCTGTCTGAGGTCAGGGTTGTCTTACTCAAGTGCACTTTTCTCCTGTAGAGAGAAGGCAGCCAGGGAGGGGGGTGGTGGGCTGAGACCTACACAACATCAGGTTGTTTCTCTATAGAGAACAGGCTTTTCGTGTCACAAGAGAGGCATTGCAAGGTAAGGCAGGGGAGGCTGTTGATGTCTCATCCAAAAAAGCAGTGGTGGCAAGATACCTTAGAAAACATCTAGGATCATTGTGCCTGTCAGTAAGGGTAGGTGCTAAATTCTTGCTATTCAGATGCTGTCCAGGAACCAGCATCACCATCACCTGGGAGCTGTGAGAAATGCTGAGCCCCAGACCCCCCCAGACCTGTTGAATCTGAGCCTGCCTTTTCATAACACCCAGGGGGTTCGGTGTGCACACGGCAGCTTGAGGATTGCTGCACTAAAAATGGATCCTAGTGAGGTGATGGGGATTTTTATTTTCTTTGTGTATTTACGATCAGAAAAACAGCAAAGGCATTTGGGGGTAGGGAGGGGCCTTGTCAGGTTTCCAGCTGGCATTGTCCAAGGACAAGTGGGGTTGTTGAGTGCAGTACTTGGGAAAAGGAAGAAAGCAAGCCTGACTTCCCTATTCTGGTGTTAGAGAAGAATAGAAACTAAACCTGCTGAACAAAGAGCAGGACTTACTGATGGACACAGGTGTCAGGGAGATGTTCCAGGGCCTTGGGCGGGTGGGGTCTCCGTTATGAGTGACATTTCAGGATGGCCTCTTGTCTGGTGGGAACGATGTGTAGGCTGTCCTTTCCCAAAACCTCTTCCAGCAAAATAACAGTGGCAGCATTTGGGAATCAGCTGTACTACTGTGTCCGCAGAGTCCCTATGACTGGTTTTATCTCCGGGCCTGTGTGGTGGGAGTTCTAACTCAGGCATTTGAGGGGCATGGTCTTGAGTCAAGGTCACAGTTCTACCAGTTAGTATTCAAATTTGAACAAAAACTGAACCCGTTACCATGGCCCACGAGACCCTTTGTGATTGGCCCCTGCCCGCCTGTATGCTTTTTACTTCCCCTTTTTTGCTTTTTGCTCATGTTACAGAAGACTTCCTTCTGGGCCTGGAAAGCCAGAAGCCAGAAGCCAAGTGTGTTCCTGCCTTCTGGGCTCTACCTGGGCTGTTTGCTCTGCCTGGAACCCTGGTGCCCATACCTTTCCACGGCTGCTCCTCTTCTTGCTCAATGTCACCTGGGCAGAGAGGCCTCCCATAACTGCCGGCTGACATGGCCCTCCTGCTTCCTCCCTGTCTCATCAGCACATTTGGTTTTTCTTCCTGGTAGGACACTCTAACATCATCTCATTTATGTCTTTACTTAGGTCCTATTTGTTTCTTCCTAATAGAATTTTTGCTCCATGAGAAAATAGCTCTTTTATAGCACTTAACTCCTGTGTCCCCAGCCCTTAGAATATTGCCGGGCACACAGTTGAAGTTAAATAAACACTGAATGAGCCAATGCACGCAGTTGTTGTCCTCTCTGAGCTCCAGTTTCCCCATCTGTGGTATGGGGATCTAATACCTGGCTTGCAGGGTGGTTGTGAAAATTGTGACATAATGCATGCAGCGTACTCAGTCGAGTGCCTGGTATGCAGGAAGTGCTCAGCCAGGTCACAGTTGTTATCCACCGGCTGGCCCTGGGATGACTCAGATGAGTCGCTGACCACCTCTGAGGGGAGGCCTGCTGGTGCTCCCTGGGGAAGCCCGAGTGGAGTTGCCCAGGGAGGAAGCAGTTGGTGGCCGTTCAGGACTTGCGATGTGGAGCCTCTGCTCTTGGGACTCTGACTCGGAGCCTCCTTTGCAACAGCTGCATTCTTTGTGACAGGTGCCGTGTCTCTGTTGGTTGGAGTCCTGGGCCTCCTGTGGAGCATCAGATGCAGCTCTGACAGTGTCCTGTCTGGGACTCGAGTCCTTGCCCAGACCTCTCTGAGTGGAAGTTCCGTGTGTGCCATCTGTATCAGTTGGGAAAGCTTTTGGCTGCAAGTAACAGCCCAACATACAGTGTTTTGAACAAAAGGAGGTCTATGTGTCAGAGGTAATAGATTTCCAGTATTGGTTCACCAGCAAAATGACATCAAGGCTGGTGTCTTTGTGATTCTCTTGGCTTTCCCTCCAGGCTTGTTGCTTCATGGTAGCAAGATGCTGCTGGGCCCCACCCAATGTGTTTATGATTAGCATAAAGGATGGAAGAAGGAAGGAAGCCATTAGTATCTTTTATCAGGAAGGCATAATTTCCCCAGAACCCTCCCAGTGCACTTCTGCTTACATCTCATTAGTAGAACTTCTTAAGGTCAGCCTTATGAGAGGCTTAGGAAAGGAGTAATTAGGTATTGCAGTGGCATGGGAAAAGGATGCTGGAGATGATGGTGAGATCCACCAACAAGCAGTGCCTGCATACTAGGAAATATATATATATATATATTACATTTTTATTGATATCTGAGAGGAAGGGAGAGGGAGAGAGACACAGAAACATCAGTGATAAGAGAGAATCATTGATCAGCTGCCTCGATCCTGCTCAGGATCGAGCCTGCAACCTGGGCAGGTGCCCTTGACTGGAATCAAACCCTGGACCTTTCAGTCCGCAGCCTGATGCTCTATCCATGAGCCAAACCAACTAGGGCAGGAAAACTATATTTTAAATTAGATCATTGATTCTCAACTGGAGATAATTTTGTTTACCAGAGGGCATCTAGAGGCATTTTTTAAAGTAAGATTTTTTTATTGCTTTTTACAGAGAGAGGAAGGGAGAGCGAGAGACAGAGAGACATCCGTGTGAGAGGTGTACATCGACCAGCTGCCTTCTGCACACCCCCTGCTGGGGATTGAGCCTGCAACCCAGGCATGTTCCCTGACTGGGAATCGAACCAGCAACTTTTCGATGCAGGGGGATGATACTCAACCAACTGAGCCACACCAGCCAGGGCTAGAGACATTTTTGTTGCTACAGCTAGGGTGTGCACGTGTGTACATGTGTGTGCATGTGCACACTAATAGTATTTAGTGGATTGAGGCCAGGGATGCTGTTCGACATCCTACAATTCATAGGGTAGCCTCCACCATCTGGCCCAAATGTCAGTAGCGCCAAGGTTGAGAAGCCCAGAGTTAGACTGCTCCAGACACAGTCTTCAAATTTGGGGACCATAGTTTAGATGCTTTCCCTGTTGCAGTGACTGAGAAATGGTCAAACTTCTTTGTGATGATGTAGATTATTGGTGCCGGTCCTGATTTTATTAAAGAGAAGGCTGATCCTAGTTGGGGACAGCTGTGTACTTTGTGTCAGAAAGTCTTACTAGAAGGCTAATGTCAAACAGAACTAATTAAGCCTTGTTGCATTTCAGGATCACAGAACAATGACATGAAAAGACAGTTTCTGCTGGAGCGACTGCTGGATGCCGTGAAACAGGTAAGAGGAAAGCTCATGTTTGATCTTGAGATCAAGTAGTAGTGTTAGATAATTCATGGGGAAGTCATTTCTGTCCTTCTATATAGACAGACTTACTTACTCTCACGTGGTATCTGGGAACAGTGAGGCCAGTAGTTTCCCCCAGAAAATGAGAGAGCAGGGAAGGCGATCAGAAGTAGGGACAGAGGTGTTCCTCTCTAAAGCCCTCCGGAGACCCCATCCTTCAGGGATGTCCCTTAGAGAAGGGTGTTGATGTGGGTTTCAACTCTTATGGGTACCAACCATGGTGGTTGGGTAGGACTTTGTGAGCATAAGAACAGAGATGAGGAGGAATGAACCATGACCAGGATTGATGGTGTGGATCCTTCAGGTGGGCTCTGCTCTGATTGGTTAATGCTAGTTTGATGCCTGGTTTTTGGCGGGGTGGGAAGTGAGCTTTGACATAAGCTGGCTTAAGTTTGCTTGTCTGCATGTACCACATGCATCATTTATTGCACATTCAACATGTGCTAGGCTCTCTGCTAAGTGCTTTACATTTAATCCTTCCAGCCACCCTGTGAGGTAGTTCCTACAATTATTTCCATTTTATGGCTAAAGAAACTGAAGCTCAGAAAGGCCCAATAACTTGCTTAAGGTGTCACAGTCAATAAGTAGCAAGCAGAGCTGGGATCCAGCCCTGGGAATTCTGGGTAGCTCACATTTCAGAAGGGGTGACTGACAATCATATGCATGTAATCACATGCTGTGTGAAATCAGCATAGGGAGATAGGAGATAAACACTTTATTAAAGGTGTGTGTTACGTGTTGATTGTGTTAGGTGAGCTCAGAGACTTCACCATCTGCCCAAACCTCGAGGTGTCCTGACACAGTGCAAACAACACAGGCTCAGGTGTAGCTGAGTCAAAGGCCAGTTTCATTTCTTCCCAGCTGTGTGTGCTTGGGCAGTTCATCTGGCCTCTCTGGGCATCCTCCTCTGTGATCTGCTCACTGGTCTCCACAGAGCTGTTGAGCGAATTGCATTTATTAAAGTAGGAAAGGCCTGGCCAGCTCTTGGTCCACTGTCAATTAAGAGCACACGTGTTTGTTTCTTCTTTCTTTGCTCCAGAAATGGAAAATATGACAAGAAGCACTAGCCAGTTTGGCTCCATGTATAGAGCGTCGGCCTGCGGACTGAAGGGTCCTGGGTTTGATTCTGGTCCAGGGCACATGCCTAGGTTGCGGGTTTGATCCCCAGTAGGGAGTGTACAGGAGGCAGCTGATTAATGATTCTCTCCATCATTGTTGTTTCTATCTCTCTCTCCCTTTCTCTCTGAAATCAATAAAAATATATTTAAAAAAAGAAAAGAAAATATGACAAGAAAATGAGGAGGCAAGTGGAACCACTTTAAGTGTAGTAGTTAGGGTTAGGGTTAGGGTAAATAAATTGGAGCTTATGCCCAGATCTGCCATGATTGCTATTATTATTTGGGGGGAACAAAAGTGTTGTACATGTATGCCTTTTAAAGATCAACTTTATTGAGGTATAATTTTCATACAATAAGATAAACCAATTTTGAGTGCAAAGTTCTATAAGTTTTGACAAATGTATCATTTAAAAAATATATATAATAAGTTCAGGAATCTTGTAAGCCTGCTACTCTTTAAAAGAGAAGAGTGGATAGCGGTGATGGGTTCACAATATTGTGAATTGAATTGTATAACTAGAAATGGTTAAACTGGTGATTTTATGTTTTCTATATTTTATTGCAATTTAAAAAAAATAAAAGGAGAACAGTTTGCTTTTGTTTGTACCCACCCTGGGAAAATTGTCACTTAGCACAACTAAACGACTTGTTTGGAGCATAATTTTTTTTTTAATTTTCACCCATGGATATGTTTTTATTGATTTTAGAGAGAGGAAGAGAAAGAGAGAGCAGGGGTGGGGGGGAAACATCGATGTGAGAGAGACATATTGATCAGTTGCCTCCTGTACATGCCACGACCAGGGATTGAACCTGAAACCTAAGTATGTGCCCTGACCGGGAATTGAACACACAAAATATTTTGGTGTATAGCACAACACTCCAACCAACTGAGCCACCTGGCCAGGGCCGAAGCGTGATTTGTACTGTCATAATTTTCTAGCCATTCATAACAACCTTGGGCCCTGTCAAAAGGGGACCATCATTGCAGATTTGTGGAAGTTTTAATTATTGCCTATTAAGAGCCCTGTGTTATGGACAGCCAGCTGCTGACACATAAAGTTTCCTAGATAATGTGCAAAAGCTTTGTGCTTCTGTTTTCCTCTTAGCATTGTTTTCCCACAAGGCTCACCCTGTACAAGTGGGAGGGAGATAAGGACTTCCTTGAAGTGGCGGCTGGAAGGCTGGGTGTCCACTGTCTTATGTCTTGGGCTGACACCCAGGACAAAGGGACACACTGACTCGGCACCCAGCGTTTCTGGCCCGGTGTCCCTGGCAGAGCCTGAGGCCTGTGTGGACTGTTTTGTGACAGTTGAGTGTCCCATCCCAACAGCTGATCTCAGCGGCTTCTTTTTCTGTGCAGTGCCAGATCCGCTTCGGAGGGAGAAAGGAAATCGCCTCGGATTCTGACAGCAGGTAAATATGTTGCTTCTACAACCATTTGCCTTCAAGAGCATAAAGGTGGCTAGAGATGACCAGCTTCTGTGGCTGCCTCCGCAGCCAGTGCAGTGAGTAAGTCTGGGTGGCCTGCAGCCTGCCTGGGCAGTGACTGCTCTGACGCATTCCCAGCTTCCCACAATTCTCCTTCTTGTAATCTATTGAGGGAATTACTTGAAATACCTGCTGCATAAAGTTACTTGCAGGGAAATTTATATTGATGAAAACTTGGAAATTTAAATGCTTGACAGTTGGGAAATGGTTAATAAAGTGTAGTGCATCAGTAGAGTAGAATATTATGTAGCCATTAAATTGATGTCTGTGCAGAATTTTAAAAAAATATTTTTATTGATTTCAGAGAGGAAGGGAGACGGGGAGAGAGAGAGAGAAACATCAAGGATGAGAGGGAATTACTGATCAGCTGCCTCCTGCACATCACCTATTGGAATTGAACCTAGGACCTTTTAGTCTATAGGCTGATGCTCTATCCACTGAGCCAAACGTGCCATGGCTGTGCAGAATTCTTTTAAAGCAGAAAATGCATATGTAGAATTAAAAATGATATATTTAGTAAAAATAATGAGAGCAGGATACACAATTATATGGATGCAAAGTGATCCTAGTTATGTTAAACAACTCTGGCAAAAAAAGTACCAAAATGTGAACAGAGATAATATTGGAAACCTTTATATTTCCTGATATTTTTTATATTTTTTTTAAAAAAGGAGAGTCTTTTATTTATTTTAAAAATTTATTTGTTGATTTTAGAGAGAGGAAGGGAGAGAGAAAGAGAGAAACATCTCTTTGTTGCACTTATTTATGCATTCATTGGTTGTTTCTTGTATGTGCCCTGACTGGAGATCGAACCCACAATCTTGGCGTATCGGAACAATACTCCATTTGACAACTGATCTAACCAGCCAGATCTATTTTTCATATTTTATACTGTGATTGTGTTTCTTTTATAATTTAAATAAACTCCTAAAAGTTGCCATTCACCTTCATGACCCAGGAAAGGCTGACATAATCACATAAGTTTGTAACATTGGGAGGCGACTCAAAGGTTTGGGCAATGTGGAGAGACACAGGCATTTGCTGGAAAGGCTGTGTCAAGTCAGCAGTGCTGACTCATGCCCTGCAGCGTGGAGAGTCAGGAGGCACGTTCCTGCAAAGGAAGCGAAGGGAAGGGGACATCTTGTTCAGCGCTCATCTCATCCTGGAGACTTTCCACGTCCCGCATCCTCTTACCCCGACCCACCAGCTCCCACTTCTCTTCTCTGTCCTCTCACACCCTTGTTCTCTGTGACACTTTGCCCCACGGCATCCTAATAGAGCCGTGGGGACCATTTGAAACTGGTGCATATTTAAGATGGTACCTTCTCCCTTATATTTCTGTCCCTCTTTGTTTTCCCCCATGTCGCGTAGGACCCCCTCCACGTCCTGCATGGAGTAGGGTTCAGTATCTGAAAGAGGGGCCGCACACAAATGAGAAAAAAAGACACGAGATAATTTTGCAATATTGGAGGACCAGGCGGGCAAGTCCAACTCAAGGAGAGGGACTTCCACCTAAGCTCAGGCTGCTCTGATCTTTTATTGAGGTCAGGGTAGCCTTAGGTAAGGAGATTTCAATGACACATGGATTAGCTCATTGGTAGACAATTTCCAGAAATGGGCAGAGTATCTGATCAACAATAATCAACAAGGATCTACACAAGTATCTAAGGAATTAAGTGAACTAAGGTGGGATGATGCTTTAGCTAGATTAACTGGGTGGTGTCTTAATTAACTGGGTGGTGCACAGCCCTGACCTTTGCTAGGACTTTCAAGCCTTGACTTTTGCCAGGACTTTCAAGGGCTACCAGCTTTTGGGGGGTCTCTGTCTAAACTCAGCTAGTGAAGACAATGAATGGACTCCGGCACCCCCATAACACTTATCACCAACTCGCACTGCACGCTGTGCTTTTCTATCCCATTACCGTAAAGTCAGCTCTGTGTGGGCATGATGTTATTATGCTGTCTTGTTCACTGACGTAGTCGCAGTCCCTAGAACAGGGGTGGGCAAACTTTTTGACTCGAGGGCCACAATGGGTTCTTAAGCTGGACCGGAGGGCTGGAACAAAAGCATGGATGGAGTGTTTGTGTGAACTAATACATGTTAACACTGCTGCTGGTGAAGGAGCGGAGGGGAGAGCAAGAGAACCCTCCACTCTTTCGGCTCCGCGGGCCGGATAGAACAGCCCGCGGTCCGTAGTTTGCCCACGGCTGATCTAGAAGGTGCTCAGTGAAGATGCGTGGTCTGGTTGAGTGTGTACATTGCATCGCACCATAGTCAAGTGTTTAAATAACTGTGCCAACACAAGGCTTGTCAGCTTTGAGGCAAGGGGAGCTTCTCCATTTTCTTTACTTCTCAGCGTTTTGCACAAACATTGTATGCCTGTCACGCATTAGGTTCTCAGCGTACGTTTGTGGCATTAGATCATTAGACTGAGGTATTGCTTCAGTTCTCCCAGCAGTCTGTTAGTGTGCCCTGGGCAGGCTGGCACAAGAGTGCATGGACAGCCATGGCTTTGAATCCTGGCTCCTCCTCTTTTCAGCTGTGTCCCTTGCCTGAGCCCAAGAATTAGGTCTACTGTGATACTGTGATTTACAAAAAGATATACGTTTGTTCTTTGTCCCCATTTCTGGTACTGAGCTCCTAAGACCCCTGGGATTTTCAAAGTGATGATATCCATAAAGGTGTCTTGTTATTCACCATAGTGACTTTTGGAAAGCACCAAAGGTTAGGGACTAGTTTCCAGGAGAACCATATGATTAGAGGGATGGAACTTTAGTCCCATACCCGCCTCTGGGGAGGGGAAAGGGACTGGAGATTGAGTTCAGTTGCCAATGGCCAGTGATTCAATCATTTATGCCTGTGTGGTGAAGCCTCCATGAAAACCCAAAGGACAGGGTTCAGAGAGTTCTGGGCGGGGAACACTTGAGTGCGGGGAGAAGGGCCCTCTCTGAGAGAGCGTGGTAGCTCCACGCCCTTCCCACTCACTTCACCCTGTGTGCTTCTTCCACCAGGCTGCTCCTGAGTTCTATCCTTTCCTAATAAACTGGTGAGCTAGTAAGTTAGATGTTTTTCCGAGTTCTGAGAGGCCCTCTAGCAAATTAATCAGACCCAAAGACCGGCTCATGGGAACCTCTGAGGTGTATAGTTGGTCAGTCAGAAGCACACGTAACAACCTGGAGTTGCGTCTGTCGCCTGAAGTCAGGGGCTGGTGCAGTCTTGTAGGACTGAGGCCTTAACCTGTGGGATCTGACACTGTCTCCAGGTGGAAGTGTCAGAATTGAGTTGAATTGTAGGACACCCAGTGGTGTTGGAGAATTGCTTGGTGATATAGGGAAAACCCAAACATTGGTATCTACCTAGCCAGTTGTAAGGATTAAGTTACATGCTGTGTTTAAAATGCCAGACATGTAGGAGTGTTAGTTTTATTCCATACTAGAGACCCGGTGCATGAAATTCGTCATGGGTAGGATCCCTAGGTGTGGCCCGCTATCAGGGCTGATCAGGATCTTCCAGTTGCCGGCTGGGGCCTTCCTTCCCCGGCTGCCGGCTGTCGGCCGGGGCCTTCCTTGGTTCTGCGCCGCCCCCTGGTAGTCAGCACACATCGTAGCAGCAATCGAACTCCTGGTCTCCTGGTTGAACTCCCGAGGGGACACTTTGCATATTAGCCATTATATATATACTAGGGGCCCGGTGCACGAAATTCGTGCACTGGGTGTGTGTGTGGGGGGGAGTGTCCCTCAGCCCAGCCTGCCCCCTCTCATATACTGGGAGCCCTCAGGCATTGACCCCCATCACCCTCCAATCGCAGCATCGGCCCCTTGCCCAGGCCTGACGCCTCTGACAGAGGCGTCAGGCCTGGGCAGACGCCTCGGCAGGGGACCCTCATTTCCCCCCATCACTGGTTCTGCCCCCAGCCCAGGCCTGATGCCTCTGGCCCGGCGTCAGGCCTGGGCAGGGGACCCCCAGACCCCTCCGATTGCTGGCTCTGCCCCTTGCCCAGGTCTGATGCCTCGGCCAGAGGCGTAGACCCCCATCACCCTCCGATCGCCTGATCGGCCCTTTGCCCAGGCCTGACGCCTCCGCCAGAGGTGTCAGGCTTGGACAAGGGACCCCTATCTCCCCCCAATCACTGGCTCTGACCCCCGCCCAGGCCTGAGGCCTCTGGCCCAGGAATCATGCCTGGGCAGGGGACCCCCATCTCCCTCTGATCGCTTGCTCCACCCCCGCCCAAGCCTGATGCCTCTGACCCAGGCTTCAGGCCTGGGCAAGGGGACCATCATATCCCTCCAATCCCTGGCTCCGCCCCCACCCAGGCCTGATGCCTCTGGCCCAGGCATCAGGCCTGAGGAGTTGACCCTCATCACCCTCTGATCACTAATCATCGGATTGGCCCCTTGACCAGGCCTGAGGCCTCCGGCAGAGGTGTCAGGCCTGGGCAGGGGATCCCCAGCTCCCCGTGGTTGCAGGCTCCGCCCCTGCCCAGGCCTAACGCCTCTGGCCAAGGCATTAGGCCTGGGCAGGGGACCCCCAGCTCCCCGCGGTTGCAGGCTCTGCCCCTGCCCAGGCCTAACGCCTCTGGCCAAGGCATTAGGCCTGGGCAGGGGACTCCCAGCTCCCCGCGATCTCCCGACATGGGCTTTGCTGCAGCGGCCCCGTGATCATGGGTTCCGCTTTAGGCCCAGGCAAGGGACCCCTAGCTCCCGGGACTGCCAGCTTCGACCGTGCCCAGCTCCCATCGCTGGCTCCACCCCTACTTCCTGCTATCACTGGCCAGGGCGGCAGAGGCGCCTGATTCTCCGATCATGGCTGGGGGGCAGGGCAAAGGTGGCCCCAGGGCCGCCTTTGCCCTGCCCCCCACCTCTTAGCTCCCCCCTGGGTTTCCGATCACTGTCAGTGGCAGGGGGCTTCTTCCTGCTTTCCCTTT